TGTGCTTTTCAACCAATCTTGATATTCTGAACAGCTATATCTAACATGTATGCCTTTCGAATAGTCAACCTGGCAATCATATAATATATAAAAATAATATATATATATATATATATATATATATATATATATATTTCAGAGTCTTGTGTTGTGAAATGGTGTATTTATATATGTATATTATTATATATATATATATATATAACCTATACACATTTTCACACACCTTTGTTCTGTGTCTTGGAAAATGAAATATACTACAACTTTTTGTTATAATGGATAAGTTTTTCATATTCCTTTTATTTAATTGCATAATTCTCATCAGCATGCGCACGTTGTTTTGTTATGATTTTTGTCGAACCGTACTTTTGGGTTGGTTCTTGAACAAGTTCAAGTTTTCTTGTGGTCTATTAAGAAAAAGGACCATAAAAAAATTCATTCCGTGGCTGAAATTTAGAAACAGCTATAAACTCTTGTTGAAAATTTCGCACCGGAAGCTCAATACGAATATTGTTTGGATGTTTGGATGCAGTGCAAGAGATTCGGAAAAACTTGGATGAATCTAATGGTGATTATGAAGGTACGGCAACACGGAAAACTCCCCTCTGATCGTTCTGATAAGAAAAGGACCTTTTTCTAAAATGTTTTGGTGAGGGACTTCAAACTAAACACGGAAACCATCAAGTGCATTGAGGAGGTGGTGCTATACCCTGGCTCAAGAGGTGCTTGCTGGAAGATCCCTATATCTGGCAACAAGACTCTGCACCATGCCACACAAGCAGGAGAACTCAGTCATGGCTGTTAGACAATTTATAAGACCACATCACTCCTTACACTGGCCACCTAATCCCTAATTATGTGTGAGCGAGATACCAACAAAACTCCCTTTTAACATAAAAGTTGAACGGAAGGGAAGGATTATGGCAAAAATTCACCAACTAAGCAAGGACAATAAAGAAGAAGAGTTGCAGGAGATTATTTAGAAGTCATCTGAGGCCATATTGAAGCCAGGCGAATTTTATTGAATAACCTAGTATAATTTAGTATTTTATATTTTGTGAAATTTGGTAAATATGTCTGTTAAAATGAGATTCCAGTGTTATTTCTCTGTTTTGTGGCATTTAGATTATAATTTATCATCGCACCCTATATATATATATATATATATAGAGAGAGAGAGAGAGAGAAGAGATAGAGAAAAAAAAAGTGGAATGAAAAGAGAGAGAGAAGAGAGAGAGAGGGTTTTATCCCAAGAATGTACATTCCAGAAAGGGAAATAAACTTGTATAAATATTTACCCTAAATTTATTCAGACATCATGGGATTAATACAATTTTGGACTCTACAATCACCAAAATTAATAAAATGGTGGCCCCTTTTAGCTACCAGACATTTTAGTACAACGAACTACTGCTTGGTCAACGTTGGCCACAGTGTCCAGTGGGTTACAAGGCCACGAATTTTTCAAATTTCTTATTTAAGGGCCTACAAATGGTTACCGCAATTTGATAAACTGCGAAGACAGGTCTCGTTTCTAGAGTGTGTATCATTTTGGGGCGATAAAATTTGTGGAAGATTTTTTTTTTAGGACGCATTCCTGTCATCAAAATTGTCATCATGAAGGCTATCTCTGGCAAGTATAGCCTACCAGGGCTTTAAAAGAGACAAAAAGAGTACAGATTCAAGGCAGCAGAAAAATTTATATGGTAGGTAAATGCTGATTATGTCTCACAGAAATATGATTGTACACAAGGATGCTGAGAATACCATAGACTGACCGAAGTAAGGCAACGGCGAAGTTTAGAGAAAATAAAAACAAAAGCATCAGACAGGAGAATTGAAATTCTCTAGTGTAACATTGATAGTATGGCTTAGAAAATTCTGACACCACAGGACAGAGTGAAAGCAAATGAATAACCTCTGCCTAATGAACTTAGTAAATGTGGTTACAGAACAGAGAACTGGTGAGAGGGAAAATTGAAAGCTATGATCGACCACGTCTTGAAGCACAGAACATAGTAAAAGAAGAGATATTACATGAGAGACTGATCTCTAGGAACTCGTTCTTATCTCGACCATTATTAAATTTAAAGACTAGGCTTAACTTTCACCGATCTCGTGTATTTTCCACTTCTCTGCTATGTCTATATTACGTTGAAACACCACCATCGTATGGTCACCGAAGTTAAGTAATGCCAAAATTATAATTTCGTTACCTAGATGTAAGGACCACTTGAATACCTGATGTTGTAGACTTGGAGGTGGGGGGTGAATGCACAATGGTTCATAAGTCGAACTCCGAGAAACGAGTTTCAAAATACCAGTCGGGTTCGTCATATTCACTTCACGCAAATTGGGTGATTGTTTCGAATGCCAAGAAGTACACTGTGAAAAGCTCGGATGTGCGGGTGGTGCAATAGGTAACGCCCGGAATGGGAAATCGGAGACGAGTTTTCAATTTCAGTCCAGGTTTAAATCATATTCATTTGCGCAACACCCCTTTAGAAGGGCATGAATCACATTTCTTTCCCTGACTATGGGTTTAAATAGTAAGATGTTTATCAGTAACACGTCATCTTAAAAAAATATTACAATCATAATATATATTTTTGGTTTAAATAACCAGAAAAAGTGATTATCCGTTAAAAAACAACATAAAATCAAATTAAACTTGGTTAAAAAGGCACGCTGAAACATCGGATCTTCTTCGTACGGGTTAAGCAACGTCGAGCCTGGTCACTGCACCTAGATGGTGACCATTTCGGAATACCTGGATGTCGTAGGCTTAGAGGTGTGGGTAAATGGATAATGGTTCAAAAATAAAGCTCGGAGAACCAGAGTTCAAATCCTGTCAAGTTCGTGTAATCACTTATGTGCAGGTGGTATTTTGTGATGTCAACGAAACACTCGTTTTGCCTGACTGTTGTAATGTCAACGAACACATTGCACTTTCCGTAATGCTCGTTGCAGAGACTTCGTAATCGCAGATATAACTATAGTAATGCCGTTGAACAATACTGGTGTCAGACGCCTTCGAATATCACTCGCACTAATAGAACTTGCTCTGATAATACACGCCTTTGAAAAGAAAACTAAATATAGTTAAATAGCATAGAATAGCGGTCCATATAGTATTAAATTTCTCTTTGGAGGATTTTTAACGTTTTCTCTCAGTTGCGTCTCTGTCTTTGGACAGAGTGCGCTCATGGCTTCCTGTCGTGGACAGAGGGGGCTGAGAAAATTGAAAAGAGGGTGCCCAATGGGGAATACTGAGGCCACGCCTCGGTGCCCAGAGGGAGGGATCGATGCCCTGAAATGGCATCTGAATAGTAATAGAGGAGAGGCCACGCCCTCGGTCACGTGGGACTATCAATGGGAGGAGGGATCGATGATCTATGCTAAAACTCAAGTGTCGGCACCCACCTTTTCCCCAGCTATGGGTTAAATATTAGGTTAATTATTGTCTCTCTCCAAAAATATAGCTTTAAATACAAAATGCGTTGAAAACGTAAAAATAAATTGATCACAAATTAGACGAAAGTCTGTCCGGATTTCCAATGGTTAGTTGAACGGCATTTATAGTTAAATCAGAGATGAACGTATATGACTAGAAATTGAGTTTGCGTAATGTATGCTCGCAACGGTGATCGAGAGAATAAATTTTCAACTGATTCTGGATGCAGACAGGAGACATATATCCAGGTATATTTCCTCCGCTTAATGGTCACAAATTTAAAAGGTGGTATCCTCTTGGCAGAATCTTTAATTCGAAATAAGCAAAGGAATTGTCGAAATGGGATCGCCTAAGGTTTTTTTTTTTCATTTTTTGGCGATCTGGATGAAATGTAAAGATATAAATATATCTCAATTTTGTGCCAGAGCAAATAATTCAATAATAAAACCTTTCTCCCCAGCATTTTATGGGTAAAATGCCACAGAAATATTGTTTAGACTATCTATACTGTAGTGAATCATTATATTGGCACGATGCGCTTGTCTAAAAAAGCTTTCTTGAAAACAATACAATAAAATATTTTCTGGCCAAATTTTTAGATAACATATAATATCAATGTTGAAATTTAAATAGTTTTAAAATAGCCTAAGAAAAATAAATTGATCACGTACACATGTCTTGTGAGATATTTCATGGCCAACAAAGTGCTACTATCTAAAGTCTGTGAACGGTCCGGACCATTTCTATGAATGGTGGATTGACCATCCAATTCCTATGAACGCCCATTTATTCATGAATTGGATTGACCAAGCTATGAATCATTGGGAGATGAACCTGGTATGGATTGACATATATATGAACGGTCCCATGGATACCATTGAAGTTTGACCATCCAATCCCATGAACAACGTTCCCCACCCTAACCGAATTGAATAAATTCTGAACGGTCCGGTATGGATTGACCATCCTTTCTGATGAACGGCCCAGCGGATTGACCATTTTATTTTATTTTGAATGGTCCGGACATTGACCATCCAAATCTAAGAAGGGCGGTTATTGACCATCTTGTTATCCAGGTGACCATATCATGTCATCCTCCGCTTAGATTGACCAGATTCGCATCCGGTAACCTTTATCTTTTCCCCTATGAAATTTAAGGATGACCATCCAAGTGATCCTGAAAGATGAACTTTACAGAATCTTTCTATGAAGTGGATTCTGAAATCCAAGAACGGTCCGGTATTATTGTCGAAAAGGGTGACATTGACCATATTTGAACGGTTTTTTTCATTTGAAATGCCTCGATAATTTCTGGACGGTCCGGTATGGATTGTAGAACGGCCTGGTATGATTGGGATAAATGGATTGACCATCCAATTCCTATGAACGGTCCGGTATATTCATGAACAAGATAATGAACCTTGACCATCCACCCAGAACGGTCCGGTAGATTAAGTCAAGCTCCAATTCCTATGAATACGCTGACCATCCAAATATGAACGGTCCTGACCCTATTCGAAGTGGATTGACCATATATTGACCATCCACCCTATGAACGGTCCCTGGTAATTGACCATTCTGGTGGTTGGATTTTGACCGAACTATGTATTATTTCCCAAGAATTTACCAATACAAGGAGGGACATTTGCGACCATCCAAATAGATTTCTTGATTTCAATTTTCTATGAACGGCCTGGTATGGACTGGAATTGTATCCAATTCCTGCGAACGCGGTTATGGATTGGTTGACTGACCATCTAATTCCTATGAACGGCCTGGAAGATTGACCATCCAATTCCCACAAGGAACGTCCGGTATGGATTATACAGATATTGTATAGGCGTGACTGACCTATGAACGGTCCGGTATGGATACCATCCAATTCATGAACGGCCTGGTATGGATTGACCATCGGACGGCCAATTTCCTGGAACGTCCGGGGATTATGGCGCGAATTGACCATCCAATTCCCATGAACGGTCCGGGTATGGATTGATAGAACGGTCCGGTTGGATTGACCATCCAATTCCTGGCGAACGGTCCTGAATCCAATGAAATCTCCAACCTCGTGAATGGTCCGGCGCATTGACCATCCAAATTGACCATCCAATTTAAGAACGGTCCGGCATGGATTGTCCCATGAACGGTCCGGTTGATTGACCAAACATGAACGGTCCGGCGCGGATTGACCATTGAACGGTTGGTGGCGGATTGGGACCATCCACCCTAGAACGGTCCGGTATGGATTGACCATAATTAAATGGATTATCCAATTCCAGAACGGTCCGCGATGGATCATGACCATCCAATGGTCCCATGAACGGTCCGGTATGGATTGACCATTTTTGAACGGTCCGGTATGGATTGACCATCCAATTCCCATGAACGGTCCGGTAAGATTGACCATCCAACTTTATGAACGGTCCGGTAATGGATTGACCATCCAATTCCTAATGAATGGCGGATTTGAACGGTCCGGTGGATTGACCAACTATGAACGGTCCGACCATCCAACTAAGTGAACGGTCCGGTATGGATTGACCATCCAATCCATGGATTGACCATCCAACTCCTATGAACGGTCTGGTATGGATTGACCACCAATCCTATGAAATGGATTGACCAATCCTATGAAGTTTAAAATGAATTTGACCATCCAATTTTCGAACGGTCCGGTATGGATTGACCATCCATTCCTATTAGGCGATGACCATCCAACCCATGAACGGCCCGGTATGGATTGGACCATCCGTTTTATGAACGGCCGGTATGGATTGACCATTCCATGAACGGCCTGGCGGATTGGTGACCATCCAACCCCATGAACGGTCTGGTATGGATTGACCATCCAATTCCTATGAACGGTCCGGTCCTGGATTGACCATCCTCCTATGAACGGTCCGTATGGATTGACCATCCACCCCATGAACTTATGCGGATTGGACCATCCACCTCCTATGAACGGTCCGGTATGGATTGACCATTCTCCATGAACGGTCCGGTATGGATTGACCATCCAATTCCTATGCATGGATTGACCATCCATTCCCATGAACGGGTCCGGATGGATTGACCATCCAATTCCTATTTTGACTATATGAATGCCCCATCCACCCCATGAACGGCCTGGTATGGATTGACCATCCAATCCCCATGAACGGTCCGGTATGGATTGACCATCAATTCCTGAACGGTCCGGCATGGATTGACCATCCAATTCCTATGAACGGTCGGCATGGATTGACCATCCAATTCCTATGAACGGTCCGATTGACCATCCAATTCCTATGAACGGTGGATTGACCATCCAATTCTATGAACGGTCCGGCATGGTTGACCATCCAATTCCTATGAACGGTCCGGTATGGATTGACCATCCAATTCCTATGAATTGGTCCGGTATGGATTGACCATCCTATGAACGTTCTGGATGAACGTTCCGGTATGGATTGACCATCCAATTCATGAACGGCTCCGGTATGGATTGGATCATCCAACGAACGTCCGGTATGGATTGACCATCCAATTCCTATGAAAGTCCTTGGAGCCTGGTATGGATTGACCATCAATTCCTATGAACGGTCGGTATGGATTGACCATCAATTCCTATGAGCGGTCGGTATGGATTGACCATCAATTCCTAGGAACGGCCTGGTATGGATTGACCATCCAATTCCTATGAACGGTCTGGTATGGATTGACCATCCAATTCCTATGAACGTTCCGGTATGGATTGATTCCTATGAACGCCTGGTATGGATTGACCATCCAATTATTCCATCAATTCCTAACGGTCCGGTATGGATTGACCATCCAATTCCTATCCGGTATGGATTGACCATCCACCTCCTATTGACCATCCAATTCCTATGAACGGTCCGTATGGATGACCATCCAATTCCTATGAACGGTCTGGTATGGATTGACCATCAATTTTATGAACGGCCTGGTATGATTGACCATCCATGAACGGTCCGCATGGATTGACCATCCAATTCCTGAACGGTCGGTATGATTGAACGGTCTGGTATGGATTGACCATCCAATTCCTATGAACGGCCTGGTATGGATTGACCATCCAATTCCTATGAACGGTCCGGTATGGATTGACCATCCAATTTCCGGTATGGAACGGTCCTATGAACGGGTATGGATTGACCATCCAATTCCTGGCGAACGGTATGGATTGACCATCCAATTTCCTATGAACGGTCCGGTATGGATTGACCATCCAATTCCTATGAACGGTCCGGTATGGATTGACCATCCAATTCTATGAACGGTCCGGTAACGGTGGATTATTCATCCAATTCCTATGAACGGCCTGGTATGGATTGACCATCCAATTCCTATGAACGGTCGGTATGGATTGACCATCCAATTCCTATGAACGGCCTGGTATGGATTGACCATCCAATTCCTATGAACGGCCTGGTATGGATTGACCATCCAATTCCTATGAACGTTCCGGTATGGATTCCATCCAATTCCTATGAACGGTCCGGTGGATGACCATCCAACCTATGAACGGTCCGGTATGGATTGACCATCCAATTCCTATGAACCGGTATGGATTGACCATCCATTCCTATGAACGGTCCGGTATGGATTGACCATCCAATTCCTATGAACGGCCATCCGGTATGGATTCCTATGACCATCCAATTCCTATGAACGGTCCGGTATGGATTCTATCCAATTCCTATGAACGGTCCGGTATGGATTGACCATCCAATTCCTATGAACGGTCCGGTATGGATTGACCATCCAGTTCCTATGAACGGCCTGGTATGGATTGATCATCCAATTCCTATGAACGGCCTGGTATGGATTGACCATCCAGTTCCTATGAACGGTCCGGTATGGGATTCCTATAGATCCAATTTCTGTGAACGGTCGGTATGGATTGACCATCAATCCTACGAACGGTCGGATTGACCGGTATCACCATCCTATTCTATGAATGAACGTTCCGGTATGGTCCAATTCTATGAACGGTCGGTATGGTTTGTTCATCCAGTGGTATGGATTGGCGTGTCTTCCGGTCTGGTATAGTTTGTTCATCCAGCTTCCGCTATGGTTTTATCATCATTCCTATGAACAGTCCGGTATGGTTTCAGTTCCTGCTCCAGTATGGCTTGATCATCCAAACTTCTATGACTCCCATTTTGATCAAAGAGTTCTTATGAACTGTCCGCTATGGTTTGATCAGTTCCTATGAACCGTCCGGTATGGTTTTGAACTTTTCTAGGAACGCTCTGGCTTTATCTTCCAACGACGTTTCTGTAGAATGAAACTTCGCAACCAACGACGTTTCTACAAATGATAACCTTATCTTTCTAGATGTCTCCATTGCTCTATTCCCTTTGCTTAAATTCCAATAACATTATGGTGTCATAAATGCACCTTCAATCTATCTATTAGAAGTTCAAGATATTTATTATTTAAGCTCCTGTGCATGCTGCTAATGCTTTACAGAAACTAAAGGATGTGTGTCTATTCCAAATGAATTTCTAACTCTCACGTATGATTAGCAGTTGGGAAGTTACATTCGTCATCACGATGCAATATTAAAAAAAAATACAATAATTACATAATGCATTACATGGATCCTTGGCTAAGTTTTGTTCAGTGAATTGTTTTTGATGAAGTACTTTGGTCGAAGCCTAATAGAGATCTTGTTTAAGGTGATCCAATCGCAATGTCAGGAGTGTGCACAGTTTTGAATTCAGAAATGTCCTTCTCCTAGACACTTCGCCAACCACGGCTAGAGGACATTCTGTGCTGCTAATTAACCCATAGCTGTAGGGAGAAGTGATGGATTCATATGAGTATTTATGCATAAATAAATGTAACAAACTCGACTGGAATTCGAACTCGGTTCCCTCATTTCATATTCCCCGTAGCTAATCCCTTACATCACCCATAGATAAAGATTGACTCCTAAAGATGGAAATTAATTATAGTTCAGCTTTTTTTTTAATCATTTCATCCCAAGCAAAAGCAGAAAATGCCACTAGTATGCAGAGGGCACAGCGGGGGGTGAAAGGGAGAAAAGACTGAGTATCTGCAAAGATTAAAGAAAGACAGAAAATGAATGGAATTCAAGAAGATGGAAGTTGGCGATTCATTTAAATTTTGAAGATTGTACTTATCAGGGAAGCAAGTAAACGGAAGGGAGCTTCACAGTGGGGAAGTGCGAGGAAAGAAACTGTTGGAATAGAAGTGGCGCTTATATTTAACTATTTCAAAAGTAAAAAAGGTGGGACCTGGATGCCAATCTAGTAGCATGCTTAAAGTCATTTAGGGCACTAGGGAAAAGACCTCGTCAGAACAATTGCCATGAAAATATTTGTAGAAAAGACAGAGGGAAGTCGCGTCACGTCGGTGACTGAAATGCCAAGTCAGGATCGATTCCATTACAGACCTTTCTTTGGCTTTTGTCAAGAACCACAGAATAAGAGTCCCATTAATACTGACGTCGTAAAATCTAGCAGAGAACTCTGAAATAATGAGGCGAAGTTATCATTTTAACACCAATGGAAGCTTGCAATTTGCTGCTCAAGATTCAGAGAACGAACAATAATCATTCATCTCAAAATCAGACAACCATATTTTTATTATTATGTCTTTCGTAAATGCTTCATTAGCGTTCCATTATTTAAATTAATTCCATTACTGATTCGCTTGCTATTAAATATACTTGGTGTTGCATATTTGGTTATCGATCCCCCTTCTGTCTCTTTCACGTTTCTCATCACGTCTTCATTTTCAAGCTGCGTGAATAAATATAACAAAGACAATAGAAGAGGGTTTAGCCATTTATTTTGAAATGATATTTTAATGGTGGCACTTCACTTACGACAGACAATACGGTACACTATTTTTTTTTACTCCCAACACAACAATAAAGACATAATACACGTTGTAGTGTGATCGATTCTTACAAAGTATTCCACACTAACCTAGATTTAAATGTTGATAAGATTAGAATCAAGATTAAATTTTAAATGTTCAGTTTTTTTTTTTTTTTTAATGAAGCGGTAAAGAAAACAAAATGCATATTTGTTTACAAAAGAGACAATCCAAATTTCGAATTACATATCCGGTACGTCAAGATCAAACAGGTGCAGAAATTGAATTATCCTGGGTAGTTTAGAAAAAGAAGATGGAAGGTGTCGGAGTTAGCTCCTCCTCAGCTCCTTAACCCTTCACCAGGGGTCTCTCTCCCCTGGTTATAAATACTGGCTGACCCTTCGCATCGATCTCTTTTTTCCTCAGGCCTTCGGGCCTTATACCACCTCGCAGATGTGAGCTCTCACAGATACAGCGTTTCTCAAATTCTGGGAACACGCTAAGAACAATACACGTACGTACGAACACTCAGCACAACACACACACACATAATATTTACTACACGCACTCAATGTAACTGTCCATGTAATTGTAACCTGTAACTTGTTATTAATACATATATTTGTTTACATATAATTATCGGTCTTGTTTGTTTTTTTTTCTTTGACTTAATTAAAGTCCAACTTTTTCATGTAGTTGGACCGGCTAGCAGGAAATTCTATCCACATGTGTTCTTCTACAATACATACACATCTTCACCCCACAGTCCGCTACAAAGGTGTGGTAGAGAAATCTGATGGCACATAGGCACAGTGAAAGATTCTTTTAAGAATTTGAGCCAAGTGTGAATACATAGTTAGGAAAACAGAAATTAGGAAAAGAGATTGTCGCTAACACTCAGAAAGAGAAAAAAGCTAACATCTTGATGACAGATAATGAGTGTGTCGATGAAAGAGAAATGCAAGTCATAACTCGAAAAAGAATTTTCTGTCGAAAAAGAAAATCAAAACAAAGATCGGGTTGACTTCAGGAAGCCTCGAAATATGGTAATTCTTTGTGCTTGTCTACCAGTCTCAAGACACCACAATCTTTCTTTCGCCATGAGGATAATTCTTTAATTCTTTAGATAGATAGATAGATAGATAGATAGATAGATAGATAGAAAACTTTGAACGTTGAAACATAGATAGATAGAAAACTTTGAACGTTGAGATAGATAGATAGATAGATAATCAAGTGCCATAGATAGATAGATAGATAGATAGATAGATTTGAATGTTGAAATAGATAGAAAGATTTGAACGTTGAAAGAAATAGATAGATAGATAGATAGATAGATAGAAACTTTGAACGTTGAGATAGATAGATAGATAGATAGATAGATAGATAGATAGATAGATAGATAGATAATCAAGTGCCATTGATAGATAGATAGATAGATAGATAGATAGATAGATAGATAGATAGATAGATAGATTTGAACGTTGAAACAGATAGATAGATAGATAGATAGATAGATAGATAGATAGATAGATAGATTTTGAACGTTGAAACAGATAGATACATAGATAAATAGATAGATAGATTTGAACGTTGAAATAGATAGATAGATAAATAGATAGATAGATATGAAAAGAATGAGAAAAAGATAAATAGATAGATAATGAACTGGCTGACATTGATAGCATAATCGATAGTTCTTTAGCTTTTCGTCGGTTAAGTGTTAATTGTACGTTCCGATGTGGATTTTTGAACTGTTATGTCTTGCAAGACTAATTCTTGGCCCTTGTCATTATGCCTTTTCTTCTTTTTATGCGTTTTTGGATGTTAACCTCCTTCTCCTTTATTGTTATTTATTTCAATCTGCAATGGACGATTGTCGCATTGAACACTCAATGTTCACACTGAAGACAAAGAGATGCCGTGGAAAGAGCGAGTAAATTGATAGCAGAGCAAGAAGAGATGTGGATTTTCCCTTCAGGACGTTGGCAATCATGGCTCTCACAATTTCCTTTCCTTTGTTTTTGTCTTTTTTATGACTCCTAAACCCTATTCTCTCAAACATTTACATAAGCTCGCCAGGTAGGTCATGCGTAGTTTTCCTTTGTCCCACTTCAATATGTCATGTGAGTGTCAAATTTTCCAAGCCCTCTTTCTTCTTTATGTGCCCTACAAATTTCAACTATCTCTTTCT